CAGGGCAATTCATGTCACTGGGACTCAATCCATGTTTGTGGAACAACCAGTAAATTGCAAGCCTGGGCAATCAGAGGATTGGGTTTCCTGTCTTGGGTCATTGTGGGTTTCACCTCTCAGAAATCAAAGGAGGACTAGAGGTAGAATTTCTTCTTTCAAACCCACACCATGGGGATCTTAGCTTTTCCTGTCTTCTCTTTTTCTTGACCTCCCCTGCCCTTAGCAGGTACTTAGTAATAATAGAAGCTACACCGAATCATGACCTACTATGCACCAGACATTTTGTCAACATTAATTCTCTAAATTCTCATTAATTCTCTGAATCAATTTTCCAGGACATTAAAGACCATTCATCCTCTCATTGTACAAAAAGGTATCACTGTCCCTATTTTATAGATGATACATTTTAATAACGTCCCCGCTATTTACTAAGCAATTGGCCAAGTGGCAAAGCCAAGGTCTGAACGTGGGTTGTTCTGGCTCAGAAACCATATTCTTGTCACTGACCATCCTGCTTTCCCAGCGGAGAGAAGGGAGCATGGTCCCTTGGACTCTATTCCTATACTTGGGAGACAGTCCCTCCCAGGCTCTCCCCCTTTCCTTCCCCTCCTAGTCAACAGACATTCTGGTGCATGCTCCTGTGCCTGTGAATATCTTACATCCTGGTTCTTTACTTTCCAAGTCCACTTTCCTTGGCTCCAACTAAAATGGCTCTAGGTCATTCATTTGCCAATGCTCTTCCAGTGAAATCCTCCAAGTAGTCTTTCTTTGGTTCTTAAAGTAAGTTTCACACTCGGTTCTCCTGGACTAAAAGTTTCATCTCGGCCCTGCCCATGCCTGCCTCCCAGTCTTCATGCTTTGCATTCCTGATGGGCTGCTGGCTCTTCAGAGGTGCTCACCACTCAGCCCTCTGGCTCTCAGGATCACCACTGCATCTGCTGACCCCTTTCCCATTTCCCTCTCTCATGGCTGCTTGGGACCCCATTGGTACCAGTAAAGAGGATGCTGTCGGGCACATCCAAATGTAAGTACCTTTCAACTTTAACAAGACAAAACTCCCCAGGCTTTCGGGTAAGGGATGCTTTATCAGGAAGGCTGCCATGCATTTCTAGACTGCTGTCTAGCGTGGTCTTCCTGCCCTCGCTTTGTCGTCACACGCTCACACACACACACACACACACACACTCACTTGGGACCCCATTGGTACCAGTAAAGAGGATGCTGTCGGGCACATCCAAATGTAAGTACCTTTCAACTTTAACAAGACAAAACTCCACAGGCTTTCGGGTAAGGGATGCTTTATCAGGAAGGCTGCCATGCATTTCTAGACTGCTGTCTAGCGTGTGCTTCCTGCCCTCGCTTTGTCCAGTCCCTCTCTTTGTCGTCACACGCTCTCTCTCACACACACACACACACTCACTCACACACACATACGCACACACACACATTCACACAGACATATTCACACACACACACTCACTTACACACACTTTGCCCTCCCTGTCCCAGAATCC